AGTAGTAGTAGAAGTAGAAGAAGAATCTATGGAAGTGGAAAATGTGCTGATTAGATAAAATTTTTAGTTCTTCCTTACTTATTGGTTCAGGTTTTTAAGTCTTTGAGGGTTCAATACAGCATTTAGCAATGTTTGTGTTGATTAAACCCTAATAAGTAAGAAAAAAATAAAAAGAAATTAGTAGTAAACACACAAAATGATTATTTTAGTTTAATAATGTTTATTTTATAATTATAATCTCAAAAAAGAGTGAATAAAAAAGTATTTTATAGTAGGAAGTAGAAAACTGTTAGGCGATTAGGTGAGGCGAGCCTCAAAGGGTGCCTTGTTGCCTAGGCGTCGCCTTGACAACTGTGGTTCAAAGTATCGATACTTGGGGGTTAACTTGCCAAGGTGAAGGTTTGTAACTTGTAATTAAAAGATTAGCAACCAGGGGTGGGTAGAAGTTTCTAGCTCACTCCTGAGAGTTGCTTACCAAACATTTATATACTTCAGTCTTTTATTCATTTAATAAATTAACCAGTTATTGATGAGAGACTACATGATAACAACTTTAGCATTAAAAATGACTAAACAATAACATACTAAAAGCAAGGGACATTAATTAAGCTTCTTTTCTTCATTTTTGTACCTTTTTCTTGATAGAATTGTCCTTATGTTTCACAAGCTTTTGATCTCTATTTCCATGTATAGTTTAACAACTTAGTTTTACATTTTGGATCCAGCAGATTTATTACCATGCAGGGCTGAGACCCTTCTCATCCTGGAAATCTCCTGAAGTCAGATATATTTTTGAAGACAAGGTTCTTTTGGGTACACCTCATGAACATTATCCTCAAGAAGTTTCCTTTAAACTGCAAACTTCAAATTCTCTCTGTTCCCATGTAAATGAATGGTCAGGACATCGAGATTCGACTGAGTTCTTTAACATCCCTCCTTGCTCAAATGAATTATATGACAATGATGTTGGCCTTTCAAATAATTGGAGTTATTCAGTGGGAGCAGTTAATGAGACATACTCCATAGGCAGGGAGGATCTGAATTATGTAGAAAGTTCAAGTGTAACCGCCCCAGAAAAAGACAGTTTGTTGAACCTTCCTGACCAGTTTATGCAAAGTATAGATCCACCATCAGGATTGGAAAGTTCAAGCCTACCTGTACCAGAAAGTGAAAGTCTGTTGATCCTTCCAGACAAATTTAGTCAAAGTGCAGGTGTATTATCAGGATCTAATGCTCCTGAAACCATATCAACAGCTGATGGTACAGTTGGTACCATGCCAGAGAATCCAACCTTGGTTTTTAATTCTCCAAATGAGGCAGATACATTATCCAATATGAAATCAAAAGTTGAAGATATTTTATCTGGGTTTAATGCATCCATAGATGCATCGGTAAATAAGGGTGAACTTGCCCTGAAAAACACACTCGATGCAATTCAATCATTTCTAACAGATACTGCTAAGACTGCTACTGGAGCTGTTGACAATGCTATCAATAATGTGGTCTCTTCTGTTGATCAGACAGGAGAATCAGCTACTAATAGATTGATGGTCTTCTCAGGTGACTTGAAGGAAACTACAACTAGGGTGGGTGTTGTTGCTATTGACATCCTTAGACAAACAATTGTCACTGTGGATGACTATTTAACCAGAGGGGCAGACTTTGTTGTTTATTCTTATGGAGTTGCCAAGGATTTGCTTCCTCCAGAAGTCCTGGATGTCCTAAATTTATCTGAAGAGAAAGCTGCAGTCGTCCTGAGGCCTGCTGGGACTGCTTTTAAGCAGGTTTATTATTCTTGTCTTCTATATCATTGTCTTAATTTTCTGTCAATAAGTTTATTGTGATATTGTTCCCTTGTTTTTTTAAAGACTTCTTATGTAATTAGTTTTCTATGAAGGGTATTTTCGTTACTTTCAATTTAATAATATGCACGAAATATTATTCCAAAACTCTACTAGTAGGTAATGCTATTGACTCTGGCCTATACATTGGCTCATTGAAGTTGAATGGCCCCAATCAACTGTCCCACAAAAAAAAGGAAAAAGAAAAAAGAAAAACTTTTTTGGTTGGCTAACCATATGAATCTGCAAATTTTTTCTTAATGGTTGGGAAAAAGTTCCATGCATTATCTTTTGTATGGTTAAGATAAGATGATTGGATTTCATTTATTTACAATTTATTTGGCTATTTAGTTGGTGAATGGAGACCTTATGGTGGATCCAATCTCATATGCACCATAGAGACTGGTAACCCTGTATTTTACAGATATGGTAATGTCCTATTATATGTATTCATTTACCAGAATACTTATGGATATATCTTCTGAAGTATATATATGCATGTCTATAGAATGTAAATTGTTGATATTCATGAATTTTCTAGCAATCCAAAGAAGATTCACTGCGTAAGTATGTTTGAATCAGGTCTATGTTGCCATTGAGGGCTTGGAAAGAAATCTTGGGCTGGACCCAAGTGATCCTATTCTTCCATTTTTTCTTTTCCTTGGTACTTCAGCCACATTAGGGTATGTTTGTCTACTGGTTCTCTTCTTAAAGATTTATTTTTTAGTAGGATTCTGTGGAAACAAGCCATTCCTTTTGTGTTCTTTTTTTTCCCATGAGAATCTATATTGTGTTAGATTTTTGCAGGGTTTCTTATTGGTTATTTAACTATGGTGGTTATTCTGGAGATTTGTCTCCTAAGTTGACTTTGGAGCTCTTGACGGGGGAAGAGAATGCTGTACTTATTGATGTCCGGCCTGAGGCAAGAGACTGTAAATTTCACTAGCCTTTTCTTTTCTGGAATTGATCTATTATGAAATTCTAATATGATATATGGCTTAGAACTACTGAATTGTTTACAACAGTTGCTGTTTTATTATTATTATTATTATTATCATTATTTACTTTTTTAATATTTCCTTCTTTTATTATAGAATATGGTTGTAGAACTATTATGGTTAATTTTGATGTCTGTAAATATAGCCTTATTTTACTTTTAAGTGTAGGAAAAAGTTTCACTAAGGAAATATTAATGGATGCATTGTTAGTCAAGTTTCAAAAGCCATTGACTTTTGTTGATGATATCTAATCCTTGTGAAGGATTTGAGGGAGAGAGATGGTGTTCCTGATCTTCGGCGAAGAGCTCGGTTTAGATATGCAAGTGTTACTTTACCTGAGGTTGGTTGGTAGTAACTTCATGCTATTATGTAATTTCATGCTGAGTAGACTCTTTATTTAATTATTTTTATTTTTAAGGGAAAGACGTATGCTTATTGTTTTGACATGCAATCCAATGAATATTAGAGAAAACAAAAAAGTAGAACCGTAAAAAAAAGAGGAGAAACTAAAGAAATTGATTGATGAAATTTACATCTCTTTTTTTGAAGTAAAAAAAAAAATCATTAAATCAGAACAGAGTACTGAGAAGAGGTGAAGAGAAATTAACCCCCCCGAAAGAACAAAAGACAATCCCGAGAAGAAAAAAGATATAATACATCAATCCCCCCAATCCAATTCCAATGATGACCAAAAACTAATCCCAAATGAATCTCTTGATGCACCCAAAAAATCTGGGTGGATCAAGATCCAATCCAAGATTCTCTTCCCAATAACTTGGCACAGCTGTTCTTTGCTTCTTGACTTGTCTTCAAATAATCTCTATTCCTCTCTTTCCAAACATCCAACAAACTGCAAATGGCACACAAGACCAAACTATTTTAGCTTTTTTATTCTCATTCAGAACTGGACAAGATGAAAATATTTATTTGATAGATCTTGGAGACCACATATCCACATATAACCTCTTAAACCTTTGTGGATATTACTGTTATGCTCTTAACAGTGTAGGACAGAATTACATTTATACTCTTTCTCCTAATGCTCCATAATATTCCCCCTCAAGCTGGAGTATATATTGTTGTACTATCCCGCCTTGTTATAAATGTAATGAACTTTTCCCTAACTTAAATCCTTAAAGAATATATCAACCAATTGGTTCTTAGTGTTCACAAAGAAAATAGTAATGACTCCATGAAGCACGTTCTCTCTCATTAAATGACAATCAACTTCTATAGGTTGGTTGTCACATGAGAAACTGGGTTCAATGCAATATGGGTAGCAGCTTGATTGTTATACTATAGTGTCATAGATGTTGATACAGAATATCCAATATCTTGAACTATGCAACCAAATGAATTCACACACAATATGGGCCATAGCTTTATACTCAGCTTTAATACTACTTGCAACTACACTCTTACTTTTCCAAGCAACTAGGTTACCTTGCAGAAAAGTACAATACTTGGTACTAGAATATCAATCATTGAATTAGCCTAATCAGCATTTGTATAGCCTTTTGACCTGTAGGTGACTATTAGCCTTGTATGACATATCATGTCCATGACAATGAACAATTTGGAAAAACATGCACTAGTGTTTGTGTGGGTGTGTCTAAGTGTTAACCTCATCCATAAAATGAAATATATATTAATGAATGTAAAAGGACAGTTCTGTCCTTAATCAAAGATTACAAGAATATGTGCAAAAATGATCAAGTACATAACACATATGATGCAACAATATTACCTAGGGATAAAAAGACAAGATTAACCCTTAGTTTCTTTGTACTCCCCCTCAAACTGATGCTGGGAAGTGGGCATTAGTTTGTGACTTAGAAAGGCATGTTTGCCTTCTATCATAGCCTTAATGAAGAGGTCTACCATCTGTAGTCCGGATGATATGTGAGTAGTGATTTAAAAGGTGCGCCTAGGCACACAAGTGAGGCGCATTTTAGGGTATGCGCCTCGCCTAGGTCCTAGGCGTAGCCCTTTCAAAAGGTGCACACCTGGTGCGCCTTAGGCATACGCCTTGCGCTTCAGCCTAGGCGTGCACCTTTTGAATATTTGATGCTTTTTTTGAACCTAGCAGCTGGGTTGGGGGATCCGCCCCCGGACCCCCATGCCATGCCCCTCAAGGCAAGCCCAAACAATTCCATGTTAGGGTCTTAAATTCTTAATTCTCATATAAAAAATAATGATTTTCTAATATTGTTTATTCATTCATCCTAATAAAATATCTTCTTAGAAAGCAATTAAAATTATAAAATCATTATTTTTTATATGAGAATTAAGAATTTAAGACCTTAACATGGACTTGTTTGGGCTTGCCTTGAGGGGCGTGGCACAAAGTCGACTCATGGAATCAGGAATGTAATATGTTTTACATCACATTAGCTACTTGAAGTAATGCAATTGAGGAACAAAAAGAGATTGTGGGTTTTACATGCTTGAAAATGTTTTATATGCTTGATTTTATTTTTAAATTCTCAATTGAATATGCTTTACATGTTATGTTTATGTATTTTAAATTTATATAATAAGTTTTTTAAAACATTTATTAAAATTTAAGTTTATATATTTTATTAATATTATGTTTAATATTTTTTTTGATTTTTTGATTTTTTAGCTTTTTTTTTTGGATTTTTGCACCTTGCTTCAAAAAGGTGCACACCTCGCCTTGTGCCTTGTGCCTTGTGCCTCGGGCACAAATTGGCTCTTGCGCCTTGCGCTTTTAAAACACTGTATGTGAGGAAGAGTGATATGGCCTGCAAGGAATTGGTCTCTGATAAAGTGACAATTGGCCTCAATATGTATAATACATTCATGGAAGACAGGATTAATGGAAATTGTTTTGGAATGGTAGAATACTAATGTATTTCATTCTATTGCCAATCGGCATATTTATACAGTAAGCTGCTGCAATAAATAGAAAGAAGAAAAAAATAGAAAGTACAAGAATAGAAAGAAAAACTTTCTAAATCAATCCTTCCACAATCCTAGGAATATATACAATTCTATTTTTACACAACTACCAAATATAGATCTGCACCAATAGCCCCACGTTTTCCAACATTCCCCCTCCTAAAAAACTAATTTCTATATCAGTGGGATTCTTCAATTAATATCCCATGATTCTAGGATATCCCATGATTATAGGAAATTAAGTTTCCTAAACTGATGGACCTAAAATTATGGAGAATCAATCAGAGAGTCAATCTTCTACTTTCCAACACTCCCCCTCAAGCTAGTGAATATGCATCTTTCATTCCCAGCTTGGAGATAAGTCCTTGGAATGCCACAC